CTGCCCAGGAGCTACGCTGGCTGACCTACCTGCTGACCGACTTGGGAGAGCGGCCTCGTTCTCCTCCAGTGCTGTACGTCGACAACCAGGCTGCCATTGCCTTGTGTGAGGAGCACAGACTGGAGCACAGAACGAAGCACATCGCCCTGCGGTACTTCCTTGCTCGAGAGCTGCAGCAGCGTGGTCAGCTTCGTTTGCGTTACGTGGCCACTGAGGCCAACCTTGCTGATGTGTTCACCAAGGCGCTTCAGCCTTGTGACCATCAGCGTTTCTGTACTCTTCTAGGCCTTGTGCCTGCTGGACCTCACTTACTTACTTCTTGACTCTGCTTGTACTGTGATCTTTATATATATGCCTGCATGTTTACACTTGCTAGGTTGTGATCACTGTATCTCTTGCTATATTATCAACCTGCATGTGAACTGGTCTTGTGACCACTTGCTTGTGCTCGGAATTTGTGTGGTATCCTTGAGATCCACCCTGAGCTTGTTTTGCTTTGCTTTGACTGGTCTTGTGACCCCTTGCTCTCCCCCACTTTGCCTATGGGGGTGTGTCAAACATTATATATGTTGTGTTTGTTTAGGCTACAGTGGGTTAGCCTATAGGGGGTACACAATTCTAGGGTTAGGTACTTGTACTGATTTCACTGCTAGTTCAATCATTCCTGTCTGTTGATTTCGACAAACCATTCTCTTGCTTAGGGATGTGGTTCGCCTGCACACAACGAATCCGCACACCGGGTAGCCGCATTTCACCTTATAAACGTCAACTGCCTAACACCAAAAACACCAGAACAGCCGCCCTTACCGTGAGGACATGACAGGGAACGTCCTTCAGCAGCAGTTCAAAATTCGACATGTCCACATGTGGGTGCGTCTGCTTGGCGAGAGTTGTCAGCAACCTGCATCACGTCTCATATGAGGGACCCGGTTACATCCACGCCGGTGTTAACAACCACCATATTACGGCTTATGCTACAAACACTTACAGCTTCACGCCACTGAAAACCTTCTGTGTACTCATGGGGGCCTTGGAGCTGTCGAACAACACCATTTCCAGCGGAGGACTAGCCTTCCTTGCCATCTTATCCACCAGACGGTGGGGTGATACGACTATCACCAATGAGTAGTGCTCTCTGCAGGGAGGCAAGCAGCAGTAAACGGCAGTGTTTAGTACGGCCGATGAAGAATGCATGCAACTCAAGGGGTGTTGCTGAACTACTCAAACAGCTCGATGATTACCCCCTGTAGACAGGCACCGCCAGGTAGTCGTGCTCAAGGAGAGGCAGGCCGTTTCCAGCATTGACGGGTGTATTGTGCTCAGTGGTGTTCGCGAAGTTGTTGCAATCGACAGCCGCCCATGTCTTCCCGTTTGACAGTTTCGGCACTCGGATGCTTAGTAGCCTGGAAACACACGCCGGACACGTTGGAAAGTCGTCATAAAGGGAGGGCATCGGATCCTCCTGCTGCGATTTATCATGTTTAAAAAAAAAAACAACGTGCACGTAGCCGGGCGAAACCGTTACTCACACGTTGTGAAAGTCTATCGCCCCGTCAGTCACCCATGTGTTGTCCGCGATGGAGGCGAGATCCTTCTTGTCGACTGTGCTGACCACGTCGCGATGGTTCTTGAGCTCCACGTTCCGATATTCGACTTTGTGATAATGCTTCTCCAACGCCGCCACCAAATCGTCGGGCTGTGGGAGTTCAGCAGGCGTGCTGGCTGCACCGTCAGCGACTTCCATGGTCTTTCCCTTGTCATCCTCCTCCACCCGTCGTTGCCTTTTTTTGTTAGAGCCGGCGGCCTTTCCCTTACGCGACCTTGTCGCACGCACTTCTCTTATCTCGGACTCGGAGCAGCCGCTCGATTCTTGGCTGCCGGTGTGCGCGTTTTTCGGAGGCATGGTTGGCGCGGGATGAGGGGAAGGATGCGATTTCAGAATCAGGTGTACTAGGGCCGGGCCCCGGTTCCCACGGTAAACTAAAACCGTTTGGGTTCTCCTGCGACCGAATTTGGGAAAGCGCAATAGCCCGGGGCAAGAAGGCAGCAAAAGTGGTCACATCCCCCGATGGATGACAGATCTCCAGTTAGGGTTACTCGAGGTTCGTCGCATCATGCACAGGTCACTGGGATGATGACAGCTGGGCACCGCAGAATGGTCTGGAATAGTTGGATGAGTGCATGTCATTGCTCCGTAGCCAGCACGACATCGAGAGGCTCCTAATAACGGGGGTGCGTGTATGACTTGTTTTATATCAGGCATTTTCAATTCGGAAGGCAGTGTAGCGTCGATAAAGTAGTGGTCCAGTTGGTAGGGCCAACTCCCATTTGTTTCGACTTATGATGATATAAAGTGATACGACAATGCACAAACGCGTACATCTGGCTCGTGACGTAAGGTACGAAATTGGCACTTCCTCGCACGAATTGCTAGTACACCGCTGTGGGCAAGGTGTAGACACGGGGCCACCTGGCCAGTGTAGCAGTGATCAAACAGTGCCGGATGGGAAAGCCCCTGTTTACGGGATGCGTACGTGGGAGCCGTGCACGTATACGCGGCATGTGATGTCTCGTTGAAGATTTGTAATATAATAGCGCTTATAATGGGCAAACAGTTTCTGCTTTTGTTCCGTGGCCAAATCTACGTAGGTAAATATTATCAATAGTAAACGGATAGAGTTGCACACTATTTGTTTGCTTCAACGACGTAGTCTTATACACATATCGTCTATCTTCACATGGCTATTTATGAACAACCAAGTGTATTCTTACGTACATGTAGTGTGTACGAAGCACTGATGCCTCATGTGTTGCCGCGCACGGCCGTGGACGATATGAAAACCGACTACCTCAACCATTGCTGGAGGTCGCTTTAGGGTTTGTAGCAAGTCCGAGATGACGGGAAACAAGTGCGGAGTGTGCGGTAAGGAATTTCCTAGCGACCGTGACTTGCAGTCTCATCTCTCAGACAGAACGAAATGCGGGGACTCGTTGAAGAGAAATCTCGAGCAGCTTATGTTTGATGCTTACCTGGATGCGCTAAACAGTGTTGGGCAAAAACGCCAGCGCAGCCCTGCTACGTCTAGTGCCAAAACCAACCCTATACCTACGCACTTGTTTCAAGAGGGCTCACCGCTGCAGGCGACGGAGGCAGATCATGAGGCAGACGATGGCGACTCAAAAAGTTCTACTTCTTCGGAGGCCAGCGACGTCTCCGACTTCTTCGACACGCTCACGGAGCTGTACCTGTTTTTCCGTGACGCGGACTTATCACGCCGTGAAGTCAACAGACTGCTTAACATATTCCGTAACCCTCAGTTCAGTTTGAAGGAATTACGCAAGTGGCGCAGCTACGCCGACGTGAAGCGATGGGGGAAAGAGCGTGCGCCGCCAGATATGGTTCCATGGAAAACAGAGCATATCGTCGTGCACGGGCCCAGAGGAATGTCCCAAAAGCTTCTCTTGCACTTCCGCGACACAGAGCTGGTGAGCTTGTCGTCATCTGCGTACCGCCCTTATTCGGCTTAGGTGTTGTGACAGATGGCGTGTAACGTGCCTATCTGTATTTGTGTTGTCGCGCATGCTTGCTATGGCCATGCTCTGATGTGCAGCTTGTGAAGAAGCTAGTCCGCATTTTTTCGCGGAGGAAGGGTTTCGTGTGGAAGCCACAGGAGAAGTACAACGAGAAGGGGAAGCGCGTTTTCGAGGGGCCAGAAACAGGCACGTGGATGCACGAGGCGCAGGTGCGTTGCCTGGCTGAAACAGTGCATGTCCGATGCAAGGGCCTTGTTCCGTAATAACCACCTCGGTGTGTGCGTGTGGCAGAAAGAGATCAAGGACGACAAGGCTCTGATTCTCGGGGTCATCGTGTACAGCGACAGCACTCAGGCGTCGCGCAACGGGCGACGGAATGCGTGGCCTGTTCTGATATCGCTTGTTAACATTCCGGAGGAATTGAGGTGGTTTGAGCCGGGCCACACACTTGCGGCAGTGTTGCCATTCTGTCCGGAATGGGCTAGTCCGTCAGAGAAGGCCTGTGTTTTCCAGGAGGTGCTGAAGATCATCCTAGGGCCCCTGATGCGGGAAACCGCAAGGTACGTTTGGCGGCATGTGTGTTGGTTCTTCACGCGGTAAACACGTTGCTTGTGACGTACCTGTGATCCGTTACCTATTCGAAATCCCTTTCTGTATCCAGTGCTCCTGTGAGGTACTTTTATGTGACAGACGCCACCGGCAATGTGGTCAAGGCGGTACCTTGCCTCTATGGGTACCCTGGTGACTATCCAGAGAACAGTAGGGCCCCAGCCACGCTGCAGACGGGCACGCGTCGCCCCTGCGCTAACTGCTATGCAGAAGTGGGGGAGCTGAAACGGCTGACTGCTAGAATAGATCCATGCACACCTGAGCGGCAGAATGACATTGTGCGACAGTTTTTTGCGTTCGCCAAAAAGGAGGACGCCCGGAAGTACATGAGCCAGTGGTCAACCCATCCGATAGAGGTATGTTGCAGTTTGCCATTGTGCCGTGGAAACATTCGTTCGACTGGTGGCGACACTGGACATATAGGGTTGTGACGTGCTTCCTTCTGTGCGCAGTGCGTGCTGGCGCGGTGGAACTTTGGGAACACCACCTGGGGGAACGTCTACCTCGCATGTTTGGCTGACATTTTACACGTGCTGGACTCTGGTGTCTTCGTACACATGATAGAAGAATACCTTTCCCCTCTGGGTAAAGCCGAGATCCGCATCCTGGAGAGGTGAGCCGTGTAGATCATCAGTGCGGTGTTTTGGGGTGGTCAGGGCTTTGTCAGTTCCTTGGAACGGGTTTTATGGCTTGGCCGAGATGCGACCCTGGCTCGTTGGCCCCTATTGCGTGGCAGGCGGAAGAAGGAGTTGAAAAGCGATACTCCAAGTGTGCTGCTGCGGATTCCAGGGGGATCATCATTCTTCCTTTCTGGTGCCCACTATGCGGCGTTCGAACATCGTGCCATGATGCAAATCATGCCGATCCTAATTGCGGATTCTAGTGCCTTGAAGAAGGGCGAGGCGGGAGAGTTGAGGGCGCTGCAGGTTAGAGCATTCCGTTATTACGCCCTGTTCTACAAGGCGTTTTTGGGAGTGGCGGCGCACACCCGTGCCACGCTGAAAGAGGCCAAGCAACGTGCTGTTGCGTAAGTACGGTGGTTGGACACGTGTGTTGGTGGCAATCCTTGTGCACCCTTAACCCTGTGCTTTCCAGTTGCTGACCCGTCCTCTGAGCTACACAACTGTTTGCTATGCAGGCTGATGGAGCTACTGCCCAAAGCTTTCCCGGACCAGGCGTCAAAGTGGGAAATTCCCAAGATCCACATGATCAAGCATCTTCTCGAGAACGTGGAAGCAAGGGGGATGCCACACCACTACAGCACGGAGATGTGGGAGCGCACTCACAAGGGGACAGTGAAGGGTCCCGTGAGGGGGAGCAACTGGGCTGACATTCCGAGGAGAATTGTGGATGAGGAGATGCAGCGGGAGATTTACAGAGAAGTGGCGGCGGATGCGGGAGGAGGTCGGCAGTACGTGTCAGCGCTGCGTGTGGTGAGTGTTTGGGTGCAAGCAAGACTAGGGGTGGTGCGCTGGGCGACTCACGCCCTGTACCAGGTGCGTGTTTGCTATGCACTCTCATTCATTGCATGATGTGTCGCCGGTGGTTGTGTGCGGCAGGCCGTGGAAGAGATGGAGCCAGTGCTAACGAAGAAGTTCAGGGTCATGCGCCTCGGAGGCACCGCGGACAAGGTGTTTGCCGAGTACGCAGCGGTATTTGGGGATCAGATGGCGGGCCTACCAGGTCAGCTGCGGGAGATGCAGTTGAACCCTGACAGTGTGCAGGTAATGGTTTTTTGTGGTGCGCGGATTGTCGGTTTCTGGTGCGCGGAACGAGTGACATTGCCTGACCTCTTTGATTCGGTTGTGGTGCTTGCCTTATTGCAGACACACACAGCAGTGGCCATACCACGTACGCAGGGTGGGGTGCTTGTGGCGAAGGGGACGTTCGTCAAGGCGTCCCCGCGAGAGAACCTGTTCTCAGATGTGGCACTCCTGGCTCCTGGAGGCGGGGATTGGTTTGCTAGATGCCTATGTATTTTCAAGGCGTTGAACGCGGAGGGCAAGTGGACTGGGTGTGCCTACGTGAGGTACTACGAAGCAGCAGGCCAGTGTCCCATCACAACGTGCACCCAGTTGCATCCAGCTCGAGAGAGTGTCCGGTTCGCAGTGGTGTTGCTGAAGAGCCTGCAGAGGGTTGTGCACGTATGCCCTTCGTACAGCAACCCTCGTCTGCTGCTGGTTAACAAGTTTCTACTCTGCGAGTAATTGGAGCTGGGCTGTGTGTTTGGAACTGAGGGAAGGTGGTTTTGTTACACTCCTAGAAGGGGTGGAATTGTGGGATTGTGGCATTTAGGGGTGCATGGGAACCTGGGTAAGGGAAGGAGAGTGCGCAACAGAATAGTACGCAGGTATCATACTTTGATTTGGGGGGCTTGTGTGGTGGGAATGTGGGATTTTGGAAATTCACCGTCATACTGTAATTTTGGCGGCCGGTGTGTGGATTGAGGCAATGCTTGTAACGGATTTGGTTATTACGGTTGTTGGTTACGGGCACTGGTGTGCGGATTGGGGTTTTGTGGCTGAAAGGCAGGGACACTCTTGTTACGGAATCCAATTGGATATGTGGCTGGGGCTAATTGGTTCGATGTTCAGATTTCTAGTGCGTGTGACTGGAGGGTGCGCTCTTGTGTGACGTGTACGACATCAGAGGTTGACAGGTTGGGCCAATGGGAACTGCGCAATTGTGTACCTGGCATGTAGTGGACAGTGTTCAGTTGGAGAGCGATTCAGTGGTTGCTGCACATGTGGAGCGCCTAAAAGGCAGCACATGTGGTGATGGAGAGTACGGTTTGGGCTTTTGGTGGATGATTTTGGGGACGTCCACCATTTCATCTACAGCGTCCCACACGCTGTCCGGGGTGTGCTGGTGGCCAGTATGAGCTCGGTGTAGCCCCCGTTGAAGGACATCGTATAGATGCTGAAAGTGCTCCCCGACGATGTGTTTCTGTTTGTGGAGATACCGTTTATGCCCAGCCGGTTGCCGAAGACCAAGATACCGGGGAGGAACGGAACCCCGTGCGACCGGATCATAAGTGTCGGCTTCTTGTACAATGCGACGGGGACCTGCACCACGGTGCCCCTTGTGGTGTTGCGCCATGACGAGCGCCCCGAACCTAGGCGCAGCGGGGATCCTGCACCGGCGGTGATTGTGCGCTACACGAAGAGTGGGCGCCTCACACCCGAGGTATGTGGGCGGATTTCGAGTGGACTCCCACCAGCACATGTGTATAATGTTGTGGCCGCATTTTAACCCTGTTTCTGTGTGATACCCTAATTCCGCGCTGGCGCTGTCGTGGCTTGGCGGTGCGCAGGTGTTTACCGAGTTTTTTCAGACGGTTGATGGGGTGCAGCTTAGCCGTGGAAGGAAGACGGTTGTGTTCACCTACAACACGGCGCACCGCATTACCGCGAATGACGCGGAGACCACGGTGGAGCATGGGCTGACTATGGTGCATTTCACGCACACACGCTTTGTGGACCTGACAGACGTTGTGCACTGGTCCAGTATGCCGTTTTTGCACGGCGTGGTGGACGCTTTCAAGGCTGAGTATCGTGTGATACTGATGAGACGCGCGGTGCGGTCCAATCTGTTCCACGAGGATTTCGAAGCGCCGATTTCCCAGGTGAATTACGGTGTTATGCTGCTGTGGGTGGGCTTGGCATGGAAGGCGCTGACGGCGGCAACGATGCAAAGGAGCTGGTGGAGGGCGGGATGCGTCCCGGAGTCATGGTGGGAGCTGATGTGGCACCTGCACGGCATGTACTCGGCCGGCATGTACGATCCCCTGGTCTCTACCACGGCGGACCTCCTGGTGCTGCTTTGTGAGTTCCGTGTGCGGCCGGCTATTTATATGCCGGTGTCCGATTACGTGACATGCGATGAGTGGTTAATGGAGAAGGCTGGTGTGAAGTTGGTGACGCCAACGACGCCGACGTCTTCAGGGGACGAGGGCGAGATGTGCCTGCCGGATGGGCCTCTGATGCGTGACGAACGAAGCCGACGACGTGCCATCCGCAATGTGACGAACGCATACGTGAGTCACGCGGAGGCGCTGGGGATTGCTCCTGCGGAGGTGGCGACTGTCGTTGGCGCCTCTGATGGAGAGGTGGTTAGCCGCCTAAGCCGCACACCGAAGAAGCGAGCTCGCAGTTCGGGGTCGTCGGACAGTGGGTCCGTCTAGTGCGCTTGGGTTTGATGCTGTAGTGGGTGGGGGGGGGTGTTTGTTGGAGGGCATGCCTTGAAGGGTGGGCTCATCTTTGTAGGTGTGGTTGCTGGTTGACAGTAGGGTTTGGTTTTGTGTGATGTTGTACTTTGTATTGCTGAGTGCTGGAGTTGCAAGCGAATGACACGGTTTACACATTATGAAGTAGACGGTGTGCAGAGCAGTGTAGTTTGGTTTGTGCAGTATATACAGTTGCTCGGAGTAGGTGTGCATTTATCGTTTCTGGGGTCCCTGTAGCGGGGGAGGGGCGAAACGACAATACCGAGTATGTCTGGCGTTTTTGGCTCGAGCCGCATGTGTTCGAGGCGCATTCGTGGAGGCGGCGCGGATAATGGCGCAGGTGACCCCAAAGTGACATTTTGGTGGCGGTAATGTTGTGGTCCAGTGTGCGGTTATTGATCGCGCCAATGTTGCGTTTTACGGTCCTTGTTTTTCGGACACTTGTCGCAACAATCACGCAAGCCCCACGCAGAAAAACCTTCGGACACCCCAAAACGCAATTTCCCTTTTCCGCGATGTCTGCCATGGCTGGAAAGGCGGTGGCGGGTGAAGTGCGCTGTTTAGCGGAAGAGAAGTCTGAAGTCGTTTGGCTATCGAAGGGCTCATGTCTCATGTGGTAGCTATGTGGGCGAGTGTGAGTGGAAGAAAGCACGTGGGAGGAAAAATGAGGAGCTGGGAGGGAGAAAAGCGGCGCCTGGAAGGATAATCCGCGAGCCTTGCGAAAGCGTGCTAAATGACGCGAGCACTCGCACCGATTTCGGGGGTCGAAAGCGAATTTTCGATCAGCCACCGCACTGGAAACCTGTAGTTACAATTAAAACGATCCCGCGTAGGATCGATCACGCAAATGTGGTGGGAGTGCCCCAGTTCTAACCCAGCGACTTCGTGAAGGGCTGAGAGAGGCAAGCGATGCTTGCAAATGACAGACATGGGAGAACAGCTACACCCAGCAAAGAATATGACTCTAGTTTCAATGTGCTTTGAAGGAGCTAATACTAGCCCAACAATTACAAAGTTGAGCACCTAACTAATCATAATATAATGATGCTACTACCTTAACAGAAGAAAACGCCTCCCCATCACATCATGTTTGGCCATTGGCAACCGTATCACAGGCCAACGCCTCCACAAATGGTGCTTTCAGATAAGCATTCGAAGCCGCCACTCGGCGTGCCATCACATCAAACGGCCCACCGCTCCTGCCATGTACGCACCAGCACATGGTTGCAGAGTGAACATGACACATTTTGGTTGAGATTCAAGCCGCATGTGACATCAGAACAGACGCACGGAACAAGGTGCAAGGAGCGAGGGGCAAGGAGCGAGGAGCAAGGAACAAGGAGCAAGGAGCAAGTAGCAAGGGGAAGGGAGGGCACAAGGCACTCACGGGTCAAAGCAGAGGCCACCTGCCTCCTCCACTATCAGCGACCCCGCTGCTACATCCCTGGTTGGTGCACCGGGGGAAGAGAGGGGGAGTGAAGGAGAGGTGAGGGCGGCGGTCATGAGAAGCAGTTCAGACGATATGTGGGAAAGACGCTGAATGACGACATGCCTTACATGCCGCAGCTGCTGGCAACACCCCACAACCACGCCCTGACCTTATCGGCAGTGTTGCGGCAACCGCACCCCTATCCTCCACCCCTGTTTCCCTCTTCCACCCTTTCTCTCTTTCCCTTTTTTCCCCCCTTGACCTGTGATGGAGACCCCACCCCACCCCACCCCACCCCACCCCACCCCACCCCACCCCACCCCACCCCAACGCCACCCCACCCCACTTACCAGGGCCCCCCGAAGTCGATCTCGTAGAAGAGGTCGAGGCGGCCGCACGCCACGCCCGCCAGGTTGAGCGCACACGACCCCCCCATGCGCAGCGAGCGCACCTGCTCACCATGGGCAGGGGGGCAGGCGGAGGAGTTGATGGGAGGGGGGTGAAAGGACAGGTAGGTAGGTAGGATGGGAGACGATGTAAATTGCAGTTAGAGCAAGGGCATTCGAAAGATAGAGGTGGGCATGAGAGGGGGAAGGAAGCAGCAGTTGGGAAAGGAAGGGGCGGCATTAGAAAGGGGAGAGCATGAAAGACATGGGATGGGAAGGGGGCGTGCCTGGAAGAGCAGCGTGCTGATGCGCGCTGCTATCCCCTCCACCGTGGCGGCATCCCTCTTGGTGCCGATCTGATGGCCCACGCCGCCATGCGTGGCACGATGGGGGGAGAATGGTTGGGATGAGAGGGAGCAGAAGTGAGTGAAAGACAAGACAGGCCGTAGTGAAGGTTGAGCAGAAACCAAGTTTCAGAGCAAGGATGCAAAGGGGCATGCATGTATATTGGGGATTTATTATGAAGGAGTGCATGTGTGCACGTATGCATGTATCCACGGGTGCATGTGTATGCATGTGTGCATGCATGCGGGCATGCGTGGGAGGCGGGGCACCTCAGTGGCGAGCAGCGCTGACTTCATGTCTGCTTGTGGGGAGACTGACAGGGGCGTGCGCAGGGTGAGAGGTAAGTGCAACACGAGAAGAAGAGGGGAGACAGCAAAAAGGCAGCATGGGGGGGGGGGGGGGTGGTAACTATGATATGGCCACGATGCAGCAATGCTTTTTTTTTAGAGACTTTAGAAGTGGACGGTGGCAGCAAGGCATGGCATATCACGGTTGACAGCACAGCATGCATACCATGGATGGCAGCACAGCATGCATACCATGGATGGCAGCACAGCATGCATACCATGGATGGCAGCACAGCATGCATACCATGGGTGGCAGCACAGCATGCATACCATGGATGGCAGCACAGCATGCATACCATGGGTGGCAGCACAGCATGCATACCATGGGTGGCAGCACAGCATGCATACCATGGGTGGCAGCACAGCATGCATACCATGGGTGGCAGCACAGCATGCATACCATGGGTGGCAGCACAGCATGCATACCATGGATGGCAGCACAGCATGCGTACCATGGGTGGCAGCAGCGCATGCATACCATGGGTGGCAGCACAGCATGCATACCATGGATGGCAGCACAGCATGCATACCGTGGATGGCAGCACAGCATGCATACCATGGATGGGCTCGTCGTTGAGCATGGCACCATGTCCCCTCATTGCAGTGAACATCTGGCATGCCATGGCGCATAAGGCATGGGGCATGGGGCATGAGGCATGGGGCATGAGGCATGGGGCATGGGGCATGGGATATGGGAAAGCTAGCATAGGATATGGGTGGGTGCGGGGTTGAGCGAGGGAAGATGGGTGGAGAGATGAGTGGGGGAGCAGGTGTGCTGGTGGCGCACTGTTGTGTGCAGAGCGGGGGATGCGTGTGCGGTGAATGGCATGAATGAGGGAGTTGAGAGGCGAATGGCATGCATGAGGGAGTTGAGAGGCGAATGGCATGCATGAGGGAGTTGAGAGGCGAATGGCATGCATGAGGGAGTTGAGAGACGCGTGGCATGGTGGGCAGGGGGGCGTGCCTCATTGAGGATGGGGTTGAAGACCACGGCCACCACCACCACCTTGCTGATCGCCAGCCCGATCGACACACACACAAAGGGGTACCTGCTCATGCCCCCCGCCTCCCTCCCTCCCCCAATGCCACGCCACACACACAGACATAGCCACAGGGGTTGATCGCGTTCCTTTAATGACGGACAGTGGAGCGGGAGGCGGGGCTGTGGATCACAATGGCACACAGCACACGGTACAAGGCACACGGCACACATGGCAGATGGTAGATGGCAGATGGTAGATGGCAGATGACAGATGAGAGGCCCCACCGGTGTATGAAGTTGGTGGTGCCATCGAGGGGGTCCACCATCCACGTGGGGTCATCTGACAGCCCCGCCGTGCCATGCACTGATGACTCCTCCTCGCCTATGATCTGATGCCATGCCAGTTCAGATGGAAGGTAAAGCGCAGCAAGCAGGAGGGATATTACAGAAGGGGAATAAACCGAAGACGAGAGAAACTGGCCTGCGTGCTACAACCATGACATGACCATGCTAGAACCCAGAATCACGTTTTAACCCTAACCCAACAGATGGTGCACAGCCCAGATGCTTCTGGTTCCAACCCTCGCTTGCCTTGTGGGAAGGGTAAGCGGCTGAGATGTGCTGCATGATGAGTGCCTCGCATTGCTTGTCCGTTTCTGTGACCAGGTCGAACTAGTGGCGGAACAGGGTGGCAAGCCAGATTTTGCGAGCAGAAAAGCGGGAGGGAAACGGAATGAGCTCGCAAAGCGTCCAGACTAAACACATCCATTTCCAGGTTCAAAATCCCAGAACGCATGCCATGCTGTAACAGCAGATTTCATGCTCCAACATCACATGCCGTGCTCCAACATCACATGCCGTGCTCCAACATCACATGCCGTGCTCTAACATCACATGCCGTGCTCCAACATCACATGCCGTGCTCTAACATCACACGTCATTCTCTAACACTACATGTCATGCGCTAACGCCACACATCCCATGTTCTAACAGCACGTGCCATGCTGGCATGCCATGCTCTCTTCCATGACGTGCCATGCCATGCTCCCATCCCTCATCTCGCCTCACCTTTCCCTTGTGCTGCACGTCCTTTGGCGCATAGAAGCTGCGACGAATCACCTGGTGACACGTGTGCAGGCATGCACGGGCGAATGGATGGGAGGGGGGAGGATGGGTGGATGGTTGGGAGGGATGGTTGGGAGGGAGGGATGGAGGAGTGGATGGGAGGACACTTGAAGGTTACTAAGAAGCCGGGAGGTAGTGGAGAGGGAGGGAAGAGATGGAGAGTAGAGGGAGATGAGAGGGAGGAGAGTGAAAGGGGAGGGAGGAAAGGGAGAGTTTCTGAGGTTGAGGCCGCAAAGTCATGCAAGCGAGGAAGCGTGATGGGGAAGAGGCACTGAAAGGCGCGGAATGCGAGCGGGTGTTGGGTGAACCAGATGCCTTTCGGCATGCGGCACGCGCACACGGGGCGAGGCGTGCTGTGCGGGGCAATGCGGCGCACCTCGCCCGCCTGGCGAGCAGCCGCCACAGCGACGTGCAGATACTCGCGCAGCTCCCGCTCTGCCCTTGCCCCCCGCCCGTGGCCACGCCCACCGCAGTGGCAATCGCCACAGCAACGGCGATGACAAGGCACGGCGCAGCATGGCATGGCACGGCACGGCACCGAATGCAGAGAAGCGACGGCACGCGTGTGCGCAGGGCGAGCATCGCAGACGGCGACACGTGGAAAGAGATGGTCAGTGGTGCGGATTAATGAGCAAAGCCGACGGACGGCAGAGATACAAATCAGTAGACTTGTGTCGGTAGTGACGGGACGAGAGGCAGGGCCAGCGACAGGGATCGGCAGGGAGGGAGACAATGCGGAGACAGGCGACTCACCCGCGACAGCTACAGGCGTCGCCATAGTGTCGCTTGGTGGAGTCAGCGACAGAGAGACAGGAGATGCGACAATTGGCGACAGTGTTAGCTTGAGAAGGCAGCGAACGTGGAAAGGAGCATCAAGAGCGGGTGAGGGCAGCCAAGGTACTACAAGCGATGTGAGGGTGGAGGGAATGGTTGGGGATGTTGTGGCGAATGTGATCCAAGGGCACTGGCACTGTGGTGCGAATGTTGTGATGCGCGGAACGGTTCTGCGGACTGAGGGCGCACTGCAGCAGCACATTTGCATATCGTATGGGCCAGGAAACTGAATGGGCCTGTTCGTGGGCCTGTAAACTGTGGGCTGCAGCACGGGACACCCGAATGCTGCTCCAATCGCATCAAGTGCATGTTACCCTAGCGCGCAGCTGCTCCGATTGCAGGACGTTTTACCCTGTTTGCCCTGCATTTCAGGGTGAAAATTCGGACCCGCACGGCTAGAATTGGGGTTGGCTGGGCGTCCACCCTGTCATCGTCACGCAAGGTTAGGGCGCGTAACCATTTTGCACCTGACGATTCTACTGCGGACCATCCGGGCTGGCGAAATGTAACCCTTGTCGCATGCTATCGTTAGCGTTTTCGCGGAGGTGTTGGCAACGTCGCCAACCAAACAGACTGTCGTGACACTTTTTCACATTTTCAATGGTCCGTAATGTGAACCGTGGACAGTCCGAAACCTGAACGGACAGTCCATCAGTCCTGGCTAGATATTGGCGGGCGAATTTGATGTACAGTATCGCCTTTCGATTGGCGAACGATATCTATTGCGAACTTTCGCCTTTCGGTAACTACGAAGATACAGAGCCTCTAACGAGGCTACAGTAGCCGCCGAAATTCACAATGTCAAACATTGTATGTTTATATTGTGTAGGCTATAGTGGGTTTAGCCTTAGAGGGTACACAAACTTAGGGTTTCATACTTGTACCCACCTTCCTGCTAGTTCATCCATTCTCGTTCTATTCTAGATTCTGACATGGTATCAGAAGCCTAGGTTGCTACCTAGGACCGCTTTCTACAATGGGCCCACTATTCCGCTAGGCGCGCCCTCGTGCGCCCTACCTTACGTGCGCCCTCGTGCGCCCTACCTTACGTGCGCCCTCGTGCGCTCTACCTTACGTGCGCCCTCGTGCGCCTTTCTCTGCTAGTGCGCCTTCGTGCGCCCTCGTGCGCCCTCGTGCGCCCTCGTGCGCTCTCGAGCTGCCCCTGCAGGTCCGTCAGGCCCCCGAGCCGCCGCTGCAGGCCCGTCAGGCCCGAGAGCCGCCCCTGCACACCCGTCAGGCCCGCGCGCAGCCTCTGCACGACCGCGCGCCGCCCCTGCAGGCTCTCGCCGCCCGCCGCGTCGCCCTGCCCGTGGCGTCGCCGCCTTCCCGCGGCGTCGTTGCCTGCCCGCGACGTAGCCCCTGTCCGCGGCGTCGTCGCCTGCCCGCGGCGTCGTCGCCTGCCCGCGGCGTCGTCGCCTGCCCGCGGCGTCGTCGCCTGCCCGCGGCGTCGCCGCCTGCCCGCGGCGTCGTCGCCTGCTCGCGGCGTCGTCGCCTGCCCGCGGCGTCGTCGCCTGCCCACGGCGTCGTCGCCTGCCCGCGGCGTCGTCCCTTGCTCGCGGCGTCGCCACCTGCCCGCCGCGTCGCCCTGCCCGCGGCGTCGCCACCTGCCCGCCGCGTCGCCCTGCCCGCGGCGTCGCCACCTGCCCGCCGCGTCGCCCTGACCTAATCCGCCTCTCGCCCCTGGAGCAGCCGCCACTGCAGCAGCAGCCCCTGGAGCCGCCCGCCACTGCAGCAGCAGCCCCTGGAGCCGCCCGCCACTGCAGCAGCAGCCCCTGGAGCCGCTCGCCACTGCAGCAGCCGCCCCTGGAGCCGCCCGTCACTGCAGCAGCCGCCCCTGGCACCTGGAGCAGCTGCCGTCGCGGCCCAGCCTCGCCCTGCCCCAGCTGCCCGCGGAGCTCCCTGCTGCGGCCCGGCCCAGCCCTGCAGTTGTAGCGGCCCCACTGTCGCCACCGTCTTGCGCCTGCCGCGCCGACCACTGGTGAGCATTGCCCAGTACTGCTGCAACTGCCTTTTCTACTCCCACTGCCACTGCTCCTGCTGTTACTACTGTTACTGCCGCTACTGCTACTACTGCTACTCTGACGTGGCCAGATGCAGCTCCAGGGCTGTGCGCGTGAGTCCCCCACGCCCCAGCAGCTTCGTGCGCGTGAGTGGTACGCTAGTCGGGGCTGTCGGGGTGGCCGTAGTGGTAGTCGCTCTGGAGTGGGTCGGTCGGGAGCTTCTGGTCGTGGACAGGTGCAGCTGCCGTGTCCTCCTTCGCCCCAGCTGCTTCGTGCGCGTGAGTGGTACGCTAGTTTGAGCTGTCGGAGTGGCCGTAGTGGTAGTCGCTCTGGAGTGCATCGGTCGGGAGCTTCTGGTAGTGGACAGGTGCAGCAGCCGTGTCCTCCTTCGCCCCAGCTGCTTCGTGCGCGTGAGTGGTACGCTAGTTTGGGCTGTCGGAGTGGCCGTAGTGGTAGTCGCTCTGGAGTGCATCGGTCGGGAGCTTCTGGTAGTGGACAGGTGCAGCAGCCGTGTCCTCCTTCGCCCCAGCTGCTTCGTGCGCGTGAGTGGTACGCTAGTTTGAGCTGTCGGAGTAGCCATAGTGGTAGTCGCTCTGGAGTGCATCGTTCGGGAGCTTCTGGTAGTGGACAGGTGCAGCTGCCGTGTCCTGTCAGTGAGGCTGCCGCTCTAGGTGCTAGTACGTCTGTTGCCCTAGGTGCTGGTGAGGCTGCTACTCTAGGTCCTAGTGAGTCTGCGCCCCCTGGTACTGAGTCGACTGAGGCCCTGCACACCTTCACCCTAGACTCAGGTGCTTCTCGCTGTTTCTTTCGTGACCGCACTGCCCTTGAGCCGCTTGCTCGGCCAGTTGCTGTCTCCCTCGCTGACCCCTCTGGGGGTCCGGTCATTGCGACCTCCTCCACTGTTCTTCCCTGTCCTGCGGTCCCGTCGGGCACACTGTCAGGTCTCCACCTCCCCTCGTTCTCTACGAACTTGGTGGCGGGTTGTGCACTCCAGGATGCGGGTGTTCACCAGTTCACCCCTGCCTACGAGCGCGTGACACACTACACGTGTGCTCGGACAGGCCGTCACCTGGCTACCTTCACTTGGCAGCCGGGTCGGACCTGTACACACTGACCACTGAGTCCCCTCAGGTAGCTGCGTCCGCGTCTGCGTCAGGTCAGCTGTCGGCCCCCTGCTCGTGTCGCTCTCTGGCGCACGACACCGTTCTCTGGCACCACCGACTTGGCCACCCGTCTGTGCAGCGCCTTCGTGCCATGCACAAACGGCAGCTTGTCTCTGGTCTTCCCAGGGTGCTCCCTCCCCTCCCACCCTCGCCTGCTCCTCCCTGTCTTCCCTGTGTCGAGGGGCGGCAGCGCGCCGCTCCTCACTCCTCCTCCTTTCCCCCGACGACTGCTCCTTTGCAGACGCTCCACATGGACGTGTGGGGCCCAGCCCGCGTCCTGGTCAGGGTGTCTGGGCACCTGGAGCCAGGAAGAGAAGTGGGGCAGTGCCAGTAGTAGGGGACGGACTCGTCAAAAGTGACGTCCTGAGAGGCCAGGACACGACGCGAGGTGGCGTGGTAGAACTGCCAACCAGGCGCGTCTGGGACAAAGCCAAGGAAGACACAGGGGACAGCGCGACGGGAGAGCTTGTCCGCGGACGTGTCGCGAACAAAAGCTCGGGATCCCCAGACCCGAAAACGCGACGCATCGCCAGCCTCTCCCGTCCAACGCAGTGTCGGAGAAGTCTCCGGTAAGGAGACACGGGGCCAGAGGTTGAGCTGATGCGCAGCGTATCGGACTGCAAACGGCCACAGAAAGTGGGGGGCAGCCGCATGAACCAAGGAGGTACGAGCGACCTCCATGACCAAGCCAATGCGGCGCTCAGCAACCCCATTCTGCTGTGGAGAGGCCGGAAGCGTGAACGACTGCTCAATGCCCTCCTGCTGACAGAAGGCCTCCAAGAGGCCAGAGGAAAACTCCCCACCTCTGTCAGAGTGCAGACGCAGGACAGGGAAGTCGGAGCGGAAACGCTCACTGAGCTGGAGACGAGATCTGCGGATCCAAGGGATCAAGACATCAGGGACGTCACCCTTGGTGCGCAAGGGGAAGACCGTGGTGTAGCGCGAGAAGTCGTCAACAACAATCAGGAAGTACCTCTCCTCAGGGTGCCGCTCCCTCATGTGTGTCCCAGGTAGACCCGGGTGAGCCTGTCGAGGTAGCTGTTGACTCTCGTCCTGCTGGGGTGCTGAGCCTGGGGGTGCTGAGCCTGGGGGTGCTGCGTCTGGGGGTGCTGAGCCTGGGAGTGCTGAGTCTGGAGGTGCGGAGCCTGGGGGTGCTGAGCCTGGGGGTAGTGAGCCTGACGGTGCTGAGTCTGCGGGTGCGGAGCCTGGGGGTGCTGAGTCTGGGGGTACTCCACCGGGAGGCCCTCTCCTCACAGCGGCTGCAGGAGCGGTACCTACAGTACTGCCGCCTCCGGAGAGGCTGCTGGAGCTGGTCGAGGGCTTCCCCTCCTGCCCGGGAGCTCCCCCCCCTCCAGCAGATCCGAGAGTGGTACACGAGGCGCTGCAGTCTTCGGAGTGTGGTGCTCCGTGCTGCGGACTCGGACGGTGGAGCTGCTGCTGGTGCTGCGGCCCGACTGGTGGAGCTGCTGCTGTGTGCCTGAGGACCCGAGCGTGCGCGCGGCTACTGGTGCTGAGGACCCGAGCGGTGGCGCTGCTGCTAGTGCTGAGGACCCGGACGTTG